TGGCCGCCGTATTGGACACCATGCTCCTGAGACAGACATTGCTGCCTCAAGAGAGCCCAGGATGCTGACGTCCCCGGGTCCCCAAGGTCACCTCACCTAGAAAACATTGCAGAGCTATGGCCTGGAGTCAGCAGGACCTGGGAGAGCCCTGGGTTTCAGAAACTCACTCTTGGTTCCACTTGCTCTGGCTTTTCCAGGTCTATTGCTTCCAAGCTGCAGCTGAACATGTCCCAGGGGATCCAAGCATTGGTCTCAGTCAGAGGGAGCTCTCCAATGGGACGGAACCCTGGACAAGCTGAAGCAGCCTTCTTTCGGGTCGTACCCGGGATGGACATGGCCCCTGAGTGAAAATTGTGCATGGTGAAGGTGGGGAGGGGAGTCTGAGAGCCTATGAGAAGTTTGCAGAGCACAGTGTGTGATTAAACCAATTTATCTTCATGGGCATGCAGACACCAGCTGTCACTCAATGTTCCAATCTGCTGATCTGCAATTTCATATTTATCTTGAGTGAGTGACCGCTCCCAGTCTCAGGATGTAAAATGATAAATACATGGGGAGCTTGGTTCCTCCCTCCATTGTGCAACTCTAATTGAAATATTGGGGTTAGCAACCCCAATTGGAATCTTTGGTGTTGAATAATCTCTGTGAGAGTGCAGAATCTCTGAGGGAAGGCAGGAGAGGGTGGGTGGGTGGGTGGGTAAGAGGTAATCAATCAAAGACCTTTTATGCATATATGCATAACCCCTGGACACAGACAATAGGGTGGTGAAGGCCTGGGTGGGGCAGGAGTGGGTTGGAGGGGACCAGTTGGGGGGGAAATAGGATATATGTAATACTTTCAACAATAAAGATTTATTTTTAAAAAATTTCTGTGAAACTCACAGGCAAATCTGAGTGATGATGTAGATGGTAGACACATCGTGGGAGAGCCCTCGGGCGAGGCGAGCAGTGCAATCTTACTTTGTTTTCCGAATGTGAAAACCGTATTCACTCCCCCACATGCTCATCTGTAGCATCACCTTGCCGCTCCCATCAACAGATGGAGTGTCATTCTCCTCCCTTTGATTCTGCATGAGCTCAAATGACTCACTTTCCCAATAAGTGTGGCACAAGTGGTGATGGGTGATAAGATCACATTGTGTCTATCTTTCTCCCTTGGGACAGCCCTCTGGATGCTGCCCCTTGAGACACCCCCACGCAGACCCCACCACCAGTAGGTAAGTGCCCAGGGCTCAGGGAGAGGCCAGGTCTCAGTGTTCTGGCTGAGTCCCAGCTGCTGGAAGCATTTGAGTCGCCTTAGCCCAGGTGCCAGACACCTGCACAGTGAGCCTCCCGATGATTCCAGCCCCAGCCTTGGGGTCACTCAGCCTTCACGTCTTCCCAGCTGAGGCCCAGAGACGTGGGAGCAGGGACACTCCTTTTCCTCTGTGTCCTGTCCAAGCTGCTGACCCACAGGATCCATGAAAACCCTGAAGTGGTGGTTTTTGCCACTACATTTGTGGTGGCTTCTTATGAAGCAACCTGTCACTAGAACAGACATGGGTATATGGCCATGAGGAGCTGCTAAAACAGAGACAAAAACCACATGGTGTTGACTTGGGGCTGGGGGCAGGGCAGACACTGGAAGATCCTAGAGAAAGTTCAAGGAATCTGGAAGGGCCTCAGATCAACTCTGGGTGCAAGCTGGGAGGACAGGGGGAAAGTTTTATGGCCTCTGAGAGAAAGTAACTCGTATAGTGGCAGAAAGTTTGACAGCACTGATACCTGAGGTGACATTTAAAATAGTCAATATACTGAATAAGCTGCTAGATTTAAGAATATTTCTAGCCCAAGCCGGTTTGACTCAGTAGATAGAGTGTCTATCCTTGGACTGAAGAGTGGAGGGTTAGATTCCAGTGAAGGGCATGTACCTGGGTTGCAGGCTCAATCCCTGGTACATTTCACATTTCTGTTCTAGTGACATGTTGCTTCTTTCACATCAATGTGTCTCTCCCCCTCCTTTTCACTCTCTCTAAAAATCAATGAAAAAAAATATCCTTGGGTGAGGATTCACAACAAAAAGACTATTACTAGACAGAATACTAAATGTACCCAGTGGTTTCTTTTAGCCACATGTGATCAGAATAGGGATATGAGAGGTATCAAAAGAGAAAATATCCAGTTTCCCAGCAAATTTTAGGGGATATGTATAGAATTAACAGGACTTGCTGAGTATACACACACACACACACAGACGTTTCTCAGTTCCTACCTCTCCAAATAACAAGATTCTCAAATTAAAAAACAGAATCTTGGCAAAGATCAAATCCAGAGTAAGGCTGTTAGATTCCCTTTAAGATCTCAGAAATATCCAGGGCGATGCCGTCACACAAAGCCTTTCAGCAGAGCATTATGCCCTCTCTATCTCAAGGTCAGTCTCCCAGATGCCGCCACGTAAATTAAAGGGCATCTAAGAATCTGAAGGTAACGGAATATCAAAGAAATATACAGTGTGGGTTTTTTATTAATAAATCTTTATTGTTCAGATTATTATAGTTGTTCCTCTTTTTTCCCCCAATAGCTTCCCTCCACTCAGTTCCCACCCCACCACATGCCCTTACTCCCCATTGTCCTCGTCCATAGGTGTACGATTTTTGTCCAGTCTCTTCCCACACCCCCCATGCCCCTTTCCCCCCAAGAATTGTGTTCCATTTCCATGCGTTGATTCTATTACATTCACCAGTTTATTCTGTTCATCAGATTTTTTATTCATTTGGTTTTTAGATTCACTTGTTGATAGATATGTATTTGTTGTCACTTTGTTGTTCATAATTTTTTATCTTTACCTTTTTCTTCTTCATCCTTTTCTTAGAGAATACCCTTCAGATTTTCAGATAATACTGTTTTGGTGGTGATGAAGTCCTTTAGCTTTTTCTTGTCTGTGAAGCTCTTTATCTGACCTTCAATTTTAAATGATAGCTTTGCTGGTAGAGTAATCTTGGTTCTAGGTTCTTGCTATTCATCCCTTTGAACATTTCTTGCCACTCCCTTCTGGAATGCATGGTTTCTGTTGAGAAATCAGCTGAAAGTCGTATGGGTACTCCCTTGTAGGTAACTAACTGGTTTTTCTCTTGCTGCTTTTAAGATTCTCTCTTTGTCTTTTGCCCTTGGCATTTTACTTATGATGTGTCTTGGTGTGATCTTCTTTGGATTTCTCTTGTTTGGGGTTCTCTGTGCTTCCTGGACTTATAAGTCTATTTCTTTCACCAGGTAGGAAAAGTTTTCTGTCATTATTTCTTCAAATAGGTTTTCAATATCTTGCTCTCTCTCTCTTCTTATGGCACCCCCATAATTTGGATGTTGGTATGCTTGAAGTTGTCCCAGAGGCTCCTTATACTATCTTCATGTTTTTGGATTCTTTTTTCTTTTTGCTTTTCTGATTTGGGTGTTCTTTGCTTATTCCTATTTCAAATCTTTGACTTGATTCTTGGGATCCTTTAGCTACTGTTGAATCCCTCTATAGTATTCTTTATTTCAGTTGGTGTATGCTTAATTTCTGACTGGTCCTTTTCCATATTTTTTTTTGGCATTCTCACTAAGATCCTTGAAGGTCTCATTAAGTTCCTCAGAGGTTTCTAGAAGATTCTTGAGTAACTTTATAACTGTAGTTTTGAACTCTATATTTCTTTCACTTGTGACATGTTTCTTTGTCTCTGCATTTTGGCTGTTTCCCTGTGTTTGTTTCTATGTATTGGGTAGCTGCTAAGTCTCCTTGAGTTGATAGAGTGGCCTTGTGTGGTAGGTGTCCTATAGGGCCCAGTAGCTCAGCCTCCCCAGTCACCTGAGGTGAACACTCTTGGTGCACCCCTTTGTGGGCTGTGTGTACAGTCTTGTTGTAGTTGAGCCTTGACTGCTGTTGGTATCACTGGGAGGAATTGACCTCAAGGCCAATTGGCTGTGAGGACCAGCTGTGTCTACAATGAAAGAGCTGCTGTGCAGGAGACACCCTTATGGGGCAGGACTTGCTTCAGTGGACCTTTGGTGCTCACTGAGTCTGCCCCTTGAGTGTGTCTGTTATGGATGTGAAGAGTTGTAGTCTCACACTGACCACTGGGTACACTGGCTCTTGGATCTTCAAGGAGGTGCAAAGTCAACCACTGCCTGAGGCCACCCAGCAGGAGCTACAGAGAGATCTGCAGATTCCTCCTCTTTGTATTGGGTTTACAAGTGCCCAGAGGAGGCCCAGCTGTGAAGCAAGGCAGGCTACTGCTGGTGCAGGCCTTGGGCCTTCTTTTGAAAACTTTGGGGCTCCTTGACCCAGCTCCAGGTTTGTTTGAGAGGTTTTAGGCTGAGAAAGGACAGGCCATTCATATGCAAAAGCTGCTGCACACAGCTTGGATGGGGTTGTAAATTGGGTAGCATGTGGTCTCAGGGAATCTCCAGGGCAGAGCAAACAGCAATGGCTGCCAGTCAGCCCTGCACCGGGGAGGTCTCTGCACAGGAACAGTGACCATTGCAAGTATCTCCATCTGGAAGAAAGCCTCCCCCACGTTCCTGCCCCGATGCCAGACAGTCCAGTTTCTCCCCATATGTATCTGGGTGCCCCAGAGTCTCGCCCAGCACTGGAGCTCAGAGCAAGTGGGGGCTTGTATCTCCCTCCAGATTAAAAAAGCAGCCCCACCGGGTGCCAGCCTTTTCCGTGCCTCCGCACTTCCTACCAGTCTCAATGCACTCTCTCCACCTTTCTAGTTGTGGAACTTCCACTCAGCCAGCTTTCCCGTGGTTCTAGATGATAGTTGTTATGTATTTTAGTTGTAATTATGAAATGCTTGTGGGAGGCAGCAGGTACAGGCGTTTACCTATGCTGCCATCTTGGTTCTCTACAGGACATATGTAATACTTTCAACAATAAGGATTTTTTAAAAAAGAAAGAAATGGACTCAATTTGGATCATAAGGCATACCCCAGAGCCCCCAGTTTCCATGGGATCTGTGAATGTGTTTTCTTTATTGGATACTTACAGGTCCAACATCAGGAGGGCTGTTAATTCACTGAGCTTGAAGAGGACATTGAGCTCTGGGAGGTTAAGTCATTGGACAAAATCCCACTTGTAAGTGGTGGAGTCAGACCCCTGAAATCATGGGAGAGAATTATGAGCATATTATGTAAAACTATGAAGGTTCCACAGCTAGAAACTGGTAACAGCATTGGGCTCATGAATGCAAATAGGATGGAGATCAAAGAGGAAAGGGAGAACTTTATTTTTCATTAAAAAAATACGTTCTGGATGTTTTGCCTTATATACGCATGTTTTTGAAAATGAATGTAGGTTCTGTGGGTCAGGAAGGCCTCTTAGAGGGGGACACATGAATGCTGAGGCTTTTGGAGTGACCTAGGGAAAGAGAATTTCAGACAAGAGAAATAACAGGAGCGAAAACCCTGAGGCAGAGGGAAACTGATCATATAGTAGAACAGACAGAGGCATTGAGGCTGGGATGAGAAGGAGGGACGTGGGAGGGACAGTCAGAAACTTACATCCCTCAGGATGTGGACCTGCTGGGGGTCAGAATAGTCAGCAACTCTGAGGACTTGCTGGGTTCTGTGTCTGTTCTCAGCCCTTCATATGCATCCAACCTTTTCATCATCTCAACTACCCCATGAGTTTAGGGATTGCAGGGTCCCCACTTTTCAGCTGGGGAAATGAGGCACTTAGAGGCTACAATTCACCTGGACCACCCTGGCAGCATCTGACAGAGCTGGGATTTGAACCCAGGATGTGTTTTGGCCCAGAGTGAACCCCTGACTACTGTGCTGTCCTGCTCAGGGCCTGATACCAGCACAGCAGCAGGCCCTGTCCCGCACAGCGACTCGGTCCTCTCTCTGACCCCGACACTAATACTGTGTCTGCACCTAGCAGACCTCTGTACCCATTTGCTCACTGCATGACTTATTCATCTCCAGTTTTCAGATGGGAAATGCAGGCTTACATTTGACAAGCCCGTGGTCACACAGCTCCGCCAGGTTCCAAATCAGCTGCTGACCCTGCAGTGCTCTGCACCGAGCCTCCCGCTGGGGCTTCCAGGTGCTCGTGACCAAGACACTCAGCAGAAAACAAACTGGCCCAGGAGTCTGCCTCTTCCTCTCTGTTTCTCATTCATTCACTCACTCACAATCTGTATGCCTCTCCCTCTAATCACATCAGGCCATCAAAAGAATGACAAGAAAACGAATGACAGGAAGTGTTAGGAGCTGGGAGTGAGGGGCAGAGAGCGCTGGCTCAGGACAAGAAACTAGCCCATCACAGTGAGGCAGAGGCTCTCTCCCTCCTCTCCTCTCCAGCCCCTCAGGGCAGCTTCCACCCTCCCCACCTCCCACAGGAGCTGCAGGTGCAGGAACCACAAGGTGGCTCTGGGGCTGGGTTGTCTACACCGCACAGAAAGGAATATCCACCACCACATCCTCACTCCTTGCCCACTTGTTGAGAGAAGAACCCTGACCCAGAGGAGAGAGAGGACACTTAGGCTGACTGAGGAGACACTGATTGCTGTGGGCAGGGGGGGCTTTAGGAGCAGAGAGAAGTTCCTATGTAATCATTTCTCAGCAAGTAGCCACAGGAAATTCCGAAAGAACACATCTAACCTCACCACAATCTAGGACATGTTTTCATGATTTAAAAACCATGCCACACACCCATTCTTCCTCATATCCTAGATTGTGGCCTTTTGGCCAGTGTTCCCAAGTTCCAGGAGGATGGCCAGGTTGTTCCTCATAAGCTGCAGAAGGTGATAGAGACAGAGACTGACTATTTAAAGATGCCAACAAAGGGAAAGATGGGGAGATGCAGAACTGGGATCCCCACCCAGGAGGGCCCCAACCACCAGAGTCCATCCCTGCCACAATCCCCTCTTCCTGTTGTCACCTGAGTGAGGCAGGGTCCTTACCTGGGATAGACCCTGGTGATGGGAGAGGTCGGGCACGGAGATGTCTTGCCCATAACCTTCAACTTTCATCAAACCTGGTCTGGGGGCCTGATGACTCAGGACAGCAGAGCTCAAGTCAGGGCCAGAATGTGCAGTTGGGGCCACAGAGGTGGGTCCGGTTGAAGGGCAGGATGGTGTCATCGTCACAGCATTGCTCCAAGGGGTTGTACATCCAGTTTCCACACCTGGGTGCTCGCTGGCACAGCCACAGGTCAGCATTCATGTGGGCCCCTGGAGAGAAATTGCTGGTGACTTCAAGGAGAACCAGGCACTATCTTCATGCCCTGAATCAGGGGCCTCTTTAAAACCACTTTCCAAGGGTAGCTTCATCCCTCTTCATTCTCCCCCACCCAACACTCACCTGTACCTGACTTTGAGCACTGGAGGAGGAGGAAGACTAATATGCAGATGAAACCTGGAGAAGAAGAAAGGAGGGTTAAGGCTGAGGATGGGATTGTGGACCTCAGGGAGGCAGGCCAGTGTGGGGAAGCCTAGTTTCACATTTGTTTTAAAGGTTTGGATTGGGGGTTATCTCTGCATAGGGTCTAGTTCCTGACACAGGTAGGAGTCCAGAAAGCTGGACCTGGGCAGCCTGGACCCTATAAAGGGAAATAATTGGGGGAAATTCTTTGAACCATAGCTTAGAATTCTAAGAATGCAGTGAAGTTTCCCAGTTGGGAGAAGGTCGGAACAGGTATTAAAGATATCAATAAAGTGACTTGGAAGGAGAAAGGAAGCTGAGGTTAGACGGCGGGGGGGGGGGGTGGAATTTGGGTGCATGGTTGCTTTGGGGAATATAATTGGGTTTGAGTAGATCTTGGAGTTGGAGCTCTCCTGTATTTCAACTACTGGGCAACATGACTTCAGATAAAGTTTGAGAGATAAAGGACATGTTCAAAAGAATAGAACATAAATGTTTTTTTATAGATGCAGTAATATGACTATAATATAGGAGAAAACATGATTATCTAAAATGATACAGAAAAAGCATTTGACAAAATCTACACTTTCATAATTTTAAAAAACCCAACAAAGACAAGCTATTAATGAAAGAGAACTTCCTGAGCCCAATAAAGGGTATCCACAATACAGCTCACAACGTATCACACTTAATGGTGAAAGACTGAATGCTCTCTCTCTTTAGCATTAAGAGCAGGACAAGTCTGTCCACTCTCATCACTCTATTCAACATAACACTGGATGTTTAAGCCAGATAAATTAGGCCAGAAAAGGAATAAAGTGCATTCAGATTGTAAAAGAAGTAAAACTATTTCTATTTGCAAATGACATGATCTTGTATGTTAAAAATTCTAAGAAAGCTACCAACACCCTACATGACTAACTGACAAAGTCAGCAAGGTTGTGAGATAGAAAATCAACATATAAAAATCAATTGTATACACCATCTGAAAATGAAATTAAGAAAATAATTCTACTTATAATAGACCAAAATTAAGTACTCATGAATAGTGTAAACTTTGTACATTAAAATAAGCACAACATTGTTGAAAGTGAAGCAAATACATAAATAAACTGAAATACATCCATGTTCATAGATTGGAAGACCGCAGAAATTAACAATCTGATCCTACAACTTGTATTGAAATCCAAAGGACCTGAGTTACTTCAAAGGAATGGCAGCAGGAAAGAGAACTTGACCTCTCCCCCTGAAATGTCAACAAGTTAGTCAACTATAATTCAACAACGAAATCCCTGCTCAACACAGACCCATGCCTGAGGGACCCATGCATTGGAACATCTAAAGGTGGGCAACCAGGAATAAACAGGGAAACGAGAAGGGAGAAAAGCGCAGAAGGCACAGAGAAGCTCTGCAGCTGAGAACTTGTGGCTCAACTGGGAGAGAGGAAGTGGCAGTAGCAGGTGCTTCCTTCTGCTAGGAGGAACAAAGATCTGGTGGGGGGAGTGGGAGGGGGAACGGGACAGCCCAGCAGGGCCAGCGGCAAGGGAGCAAACAGTGTCTGAGTCTGCAGTTACCTGACAAAACACTGGGTTCTGCTGTATGGCTTTCCACTGTTGGCAGTGTAGTGGTGTTCAAAGAAATGGAACCACAGAGCCGTACCCTTTTATGTAATGATGTTTACTTTGAATTTATATTAGTTCACACAAACACTCCATCCATGCTTTTGTTCCGGCCCTCCGGTCCAGTTTAAGAACCCATTGTGGCCCTCGAGTCAAAAAGTTTGCCCACCCCTGGTCTAGGAGCATATCTATAAACCAAAAGCTATTGTAGTAGAACTGCTGTTTTCCTCTGTGAGTATTCCCCAGGAGGGGTGCTTGAGGTCGGGGTCACCATTACAGTGAGGACAAAACAAACGCCACCCCCAAGTAGAGCTGCTGCACTGTCTTACAGAAGCTGTGGAAGTCAAGACTGGTAGATCACAGAGGTAAAAAATCTTGTGATTCAGCTCCATCTACTAGAAAATCGTAGAAAGACCTCTTCATTAATATAGATAATATGAATGTCTAGGCAAAGGAGAACAACAAACACCATGAATAACCATGGTAATAAGAATGACCAGAAAGAAAATGAAAAACCCAGGAAAGCAAGCTGGAGCACATGGAAATATGTGATATAAATGACAGAGATTTCAAGATTGCAGTTCTGAAAATACTCAACAAGATGCAAGAAAATGCAGACAGAAAATTCAATGCACTCAGAAAACAAATCAATGAACAAAATGAGTACTTTACCAAAGAGATTGATATTTTAAAAAAGAACCAATCATAAATCTTGGAAATGAAGCATGATTTAAGGAGATTAAGAGTGAACCACTAACAACAAGAAAGACCACTGCATAGGAGAATATATTTGCCAATGTTATCTCAGATAAGGGTTTAATCTCCAAAATTTACAGGAAACTCATACAACTTAACAAAAGGAAGATAAACAATTCAATCCAAAAATGGGCAAAGGACCTAAATAGATACTTTCAAAAGAAGATATACAGGAGAGACATATGAAAACATGCTCCAAGTCACTAATCATCCAAGAGATGCAAATCAAAACAACAATGAGGTACCATCTCACACCTGTCAGAATGACTATCATCAACAAATCAACAAAAGACAAGGGCTGGCCAGGATGTGAGAGAAAAAAAAAGGAACCCTTGTGCACTGCTAGTGAGAATGCAGACTGGTGCAGTAATTGTGAAAAACAGTATAGAATTTCCTCAAAAAGTTAAAAATGGAACTCCCATTTGACCCCGTAATTCTACTTCTAGGAATATATCCCAAGAAATCAGAAACACCAATAAGAAAGGATATATGCACTCTTATGTTCATAGCAGCACAATTTACCATAGCTAAGATTTGGAAACAGCCTAAGTGCCATCAGCAGATAAGTGGATTAAAAAACTGTGGTACACTCTAACTGGTTTGGCTCAGTGGATAGAGCATTGGCCTGCAGACTGAAGGGTCCCAGGTTCGATTCCAGTCAAGGGCGTGTACCTTGGTTTCAGGCACATCCCCAGTGGGGGGTGTTCAGGAGGCAGCTGATCGATGTTTCTAACTCTCTATCCCTCTCCCTTCCTCTCTGTAAAAAATCAATAAAATATTTTTTTAAAAAAAAACAAAAACCTGTGGTACATCTACACAATGGAATACTACATTGCTATAAAAAGGAAGGAACTTTTACCATTACTACAGCATGGATGGACCTGGAGAGCATTATGCTAAACGAAATAAGCCAATCGGAGAAAGATAAATATCACATGATCTCACTCATTTGTGGAGTATAATGAACAACATAAACTGATGAACAAAAATAGATCCAGAGACAGAGAAACACTGAACAGACCATCAAACCTCAAAGAGAAGGCAGAGGATGCAGGGCGGGGGTGGGGAGGGGAGGGGTGTGTGTGTAAGAGACCAACCAAAGGACTTGTATACATGCATATTAGCATGACCAATGGACACAGACATTGGGGCGGTGGAGGCTTGTCCTGGGTGGTGGGAGTGGCCAGGGAGGGGTCGAGAAGGGGGGGAAGGAGACATATGTAATACTTTAAACAATATAAATAAATAAATAAATAAATAAATAAACTACTGAGCATATAACACAGAGCCAACCAGATGGAGGAAAGAATTAGTGATATTGAAGATAGGAATCAATAAATGACACAGAGGGAAGGAGAGAGAGACCTGAGCATAGAGAAAAAATGAAAGAACTCTATAAGAACTATCTGACACCATCAGAAAAAGCAATATTATAATTATAGGCATTCCGGAGGAGAAAAAGAGGGAGCATGAAACAGAGAGTCTATCCAAATAAATAGTGGATGAGAACTTCCAAACCCTATGGAAAGAACTAGATCGTTGAATCCAAGAAGCAAACAGAACACCTAGTTACCTCAATCCAAAGAAGCCCCCTGCAAGGCACTTGGTATTGAAGCTGTCAAAAATTAATGACAAAGAAAAAATTTTCAAAGCAACCAGGGGAAAGAAGAAAGTGACCTATAAGGGAAAACCCATCAGAATTTCTTCCAACTTCTCAACAGAAATTCTATAAGCCAGAAGAGAGTGGAAGCAAATATCCAAATGTCTGAAAGAGATAAATTACCAGCCATGAATAATATATTCAGCAATATTATCCTTTAAATATGAAGAAGAAATAAAGATGTTCCCAAACATAGAGAAACAAAGGGATTTATCACCAGAAAACTTACATCGCAGGAAATACTCAAGGGAGTTAGTCTACCTGAAACAAAGATCATAGGTCACAACATCATGAGTAAGTCACCAAAAATCTTACAACATAAACAGGGATAATTTGTGACAACCAAAACGTAGGAGGGGGTAAAAGTCTGAAATCATATGGTACTTGTCTCTCTCTAGCTGGCTTATTTCACTTAGCATAATAATCTCCAGATTTATCCATACTGTCACAAAAGATAAGATTTGCTTCTTTTTTACAGCTGAGTGGTATTATATTGTGTAAATGTACCACAGCTTGCCCTGGACCATGCTGCTAAGTGGTTAGAGTGTCACCCCGAGCACCAAGGGGTCCCGGGTTGGATTCCTGGTCAGGCATACGTACCTGGGTTTCAGATTTGATCCCTTCCCCCGGTCAGGAGGCAACCAATCCATATGTCTCTCTCACATTGATGTTTCTCTCTCTTTTATTCTCTCTAAAAATCAATGGAAAAAATATCCTCGGGTGAGTATTAACAAAATAGAAAGCCCTTGATAAAAAATAAATATACCCACAGCTTTTAATCCACTCATCTACTTAGAGCAGTGGTTCTCAACCTGTGGGTTGCAACCCCTTTGGGGTCAAACAACACTTTCACAGGGGTCACCTATATACATCCTGCATATCAGATGTTTACATTACGATTCATAACAGTAACAAAATTACAGTTATGAAGTAGCAGCGAAAATAATTCTATGGTTGGGGGTCACCACAACATGAGGAACTATAGTAAAGGGTCACGGCATTAGGAAGGTTGAGAACCACTGACTTAGAGGCACTTGGGTTGTTTCCAAAATCTTGGCTATCCTATATAATAAAAGCCCAGCAACCGAACAGTGGAACGACCAGGACAATCAGAACAACTGGTCAACCAGTCACTATGTTGCTCACTGACCACCCGGAGGCAGACGCTCAATGCACTGGTGGTCAGTGCTCTCCCACAGTGGGAGCGTCGCTCAGCTGACCGCAGCAGGTGCAGCCACTAGACTGACCCCACCAGTGCACGAATCCCATGCACCAGGCCTCTAGTTGCAAATAATGCTGCAATGAACACAGGGGTCCTTACCATATTTTCCCGTGTATAAGACAATCCCATGTGTAAGACACCTCCCACTTTTCCAACCCCAAATTAAGAAATAAATATCTTAAACATTTTGCTGGTTTTCCTCTTAAGGTCTTCTCTCTTTTTTTGGCATCTTAAGGAGTTATTCTTCCTGTTTTCTCCACTGTCTGATCATACACTCAATGGGAGGAGGTCCAAATTGTCTCTCTCTCTGCAGCTCTACCAGTATGTCCATGCTCTTTGGCATAGCTGATTACATTCAGTTTGAAATTTTCAGAGTCGACAATCACTTACCGGTATTTATCTTTTTATTTTTTGACATCTTCATGGGCTCAGAACACTTCAATCCCTATTGCATCTGCGCACTCTCCAACTCCATATCCAATTATAGCATCAACTGACGTCAGTAACAATAAGGCTCATGATTGGAGGAAGCCTGTTTGACAAGGTATAGGCAGCTACACACCACAGGGCTCCCTCCTCCGCTGACTTCCAGACATCCCTCGATTTTCAGTCTAACGATTTTAGAAAAAAAATAGTGTTATGTTATACCTTGAATACGGTATAGTCTTTCAAATTAGTGTTTTGGGTTTCTTCAGATATATTCCCAGAAATGGAATCACTAGGTCATAAAGCAGTTCCTTCTTTATTATTTTATTTGTTGGTTTTAGAGAAAGAGGGAGAGAGAGAGAGAGAGAGAGAGAGAGAGAGAGAGAGAGAGAGAGAGAAACTTTGATATGTTGTTCCACCCATCCATGCATTCACTGGTACATTCATGCATATGCCCCAACCAAGGATCAAATCTGCAGAACTGGAGTATCAGGATGATGTTCCCACCGACTAAGCTACCCCACCAGGGCTCCATTTTTAATTTTTTGAGGTAACTCCATACTGCTTTCACAGTAGCTGCACCAATCTGCATTCCCACCAGCAGTACACAAAGGTTCCCTTTTCTCCACATCCTAACCAAAACCTGTTATTTGGTAATTTATTGTTGATAGCCATTCTGACAAGTGTGAGGTGAGATCTCATTGTGGCTTTACTTTGCATTTCTCTGATGATTAGTGACATTGAGCATCTTTTCATATGTCTATTGGCCATCTGTATGTGTTCTTTGGGGAAGTGTCTATTCAGGTCCTTTGCCCATTTTATAGTTAGATTGTTTGTTTTGGTATTATATTGCATGAGTTCTTTATAAATTTCGGCTATTAATTCCTCATCGGATGTATCATTGGCTAATATGTTCTCCCATTCAGTGGGTTGTCTTTCATTTTGTTGATGGTTTCTTCTGCTGTGCAAGAACATTTTAGTTTGATGTAGTTCCATTTGTTAATTTTTTTCTTTTTCTTTACTATATTTGTGTTATTTCAGAGAGGAATGGAGAGGGAGAACGAGGTAGAAACATCAATGATGAGAGAAAATCATTAATCGATTGCCTCTTGCACACCCCCTACTGGTGATTGAGCCCACAACCTGGGCATGTGTCCTGACTGGGAATTGAACTGTGACCTCCTGGTTCATAGATCAATACTCAACCACTGAGCACACTGGCCTAGCTGTCTATTTTTTATTTTGTTTTTCTTGCCTGGGAGGTATATTAGAAAAAAATAGTACTATGAGAAATGTTCAAGATATGCATATGTTTTCTTCTAGGATTTTTATGGTTTTGAGTCTAACATTTAAGTCTTTAATCCATTTTGAGTTTATTTTTTATATGGTGTAAGAAGGTGGTCTGGTTTCTTTTTCTTTCCCTTTCTTTTTTTCTAGTCTCTTCTTTTTTCTCTTTCTTTCTTTCTTTCTTTCTTTTTTTTTTTTTTTGCATATATCTGTCCAATTTTCCCAACATCATTTATTGAATAAACTATCTTTATGCTATTGTATGTTCCTGTCTCCTTTGTCAAATATTAATTGATCATAATGGTGTGGGTTCATTTCTTGGCTCTCTATTCTCTCCCATTGATCTATACTTCTGGGGGTTTTTCCAATACCATGCTGTTTTGATTACTATGGCCTTGTACTAGTATAGTTTGATGTCAGGTAGCATGGTTCCTCCAACTTTGTTTTTCTTCGTGAAGATTGCTGTAGATATTCAGGATCTTTTGTGGTTCCACGTACATTTTTTAAAAATATCTTTTTTATCTATTTTAGAGAGAGAAACAGGAAGAGAGAGGGAGAGAAACATCGATTGGCTGCCTCTGATATGTGCACCCCGACCAATCCAGGACCAAACCCAAAACCTGGGCATATGCCCTGACCAGGAATAAAAACAGCAAACTTTTGGTGCAGGGGATGACACTCAACCAACTGAACCCCACAGGCCAGGGCCCATATACATTTTTTGAAGTATTGGTTCTAGTTCTGTGAAATATGCCATTGATATCTTGATAGGAATTGCATTGAATCCATAGATTGCTTTGTATAGTGTGAACATTTTAATGATGTTAATTCTCCCTATCCATGAACACAGTATATGCTTCCACTTATTTGTATCTCCTTCAGTTTCTTTCTTCAGTGTCTTATAATTTTCCAAGTGCATGCCTTTTACATCCTTGAATAATTTATTCCTAGGTTTTTTATATAAATGTAAATGGAATTGCTTTTAGTTCTGCTTTCTAATAGTTTATTATTGGTATATAGAAATGCAACTGATTTCTGGATATTTATTTTGTATCCTGCTACTTTACTGAATTCATTTACCAGTTCTAGTAGTTTTTTGGTGGAATTTTAGGATTCTCTGTGTACAGTATCATATCATCTGCAAAAAAAATGACAGTTTTAGCTCTTCCTTTCCAATTTGGATGCCTTTATTTCTTCTTATTGTCTGATTGCTGTGTCTAGAACTTTGAGTACTATGATGAATAAGCGGTGAAAGTGAATATCCCTATCTTGTTCCTGATCTGAAGGAAAACGGTTTTAGCTTTTGCCCATTGAGTATGATGTTGGCTTTAAGTTTGTCATATGTGGCTTTTATTGAGTTGATGTATATTCCCTCTATTCCCACTTTGCTGAGAGTTTTTTAATCACAAATTGGTGCTGAATTGTATCATGTGTTTCTTCTGCATCTATTGATATGATCATGTGATTTTTATCCTTCATTTTGTTTATGCGATGTATCACATTTATTGATTTGTAAATATTGTACCAACCTTTCATCCCTGGAATAAATCTCACTTGATCATGGTGTATGATCTTTTTTAAATATATTTTATTGATTTTTTACAGAGAGGAAGGGAGAGAGCTAGAGAGTCAGAAACATCTATCAGCTGCCTCCTGCACATCCCCTACTGGGGATATGCCCGCAACCAAGGTACATGCCCTTGACCGGAATCGAACCTGGGACCCCTGAGTCCGCAAGCCAACACTCTATCCACTGAGCCAAACCGGTTAGGGTGGTGTATGATCTTTTTAATGTATTGCTGGATCTGGTTTGTTATATTTTATAGAGGACTTAGCATCAATGTTCATCAGAGATATTCGCCTATAATTTCCTTTCTTTGTATTGTCTTTATCTGGTTTTGGAATTAGGATAATGCCAGCCTCATAAAATAAGCTTGGAAGTCTTCTCCACTCTTAAATAATTTAAGAAGGATAGGTGTTAGTTCTTCTTTCAATGTGTGGTAAAATTCACCTGTGAAGGACTTTTTGTTTGTTGGGAGTTTTTTTATTACTGCTTCAATTTCACTAATTGTAATCTGTCTATTCCTATTTTCTGGGGGGTTTTCTGATTCAGTTTTGAAAAATTGTATGTTTCTAGGAATGTATCCATTTCATTCAGATTGTCCAATTTGTTGGCATATAATTACTCACAATATTTTCTTACAATCCTTTGATGTCAGTTGTTACTTCTTCTCTTTCATTTCTGATTTTATTTATTTTGATCTTCTCTTTTAGTTTTAATGAGTCTGGTTAAATTTTTCTGATTTTTATTAATTCCTTTCTTCAACTCACTTTGGGCTTTGCTTATTGTTCTAGTTCCTTTAAGTGTAAAGTTAGATTCTTTATTTGAGATTTTTCTTGTTTCTTGAGATAGGCTTGTAATGCTATGAATTTCCCTCTTAGGACTGCTTTCACTGTGCCCCATAGATTTTGGCTTGTTGTGTTCTATTTTCATTTATTTCAAGGGATCTTTTGATTTCTCCCTTGATCTCATTTTTAATTCAATCATTGTTTCATAAGGTGTTATTTAGCCTCCATATGTTTGTGTTTTTTTAGCTTTATTCTTGCCATTGATTTCTAGTTGCATACCATTACAATAAGAAAAGATGCTTGATATAATTTCAGTCTTCTTAAATTTATTTAGACTTGCTTTGTGTCCTAACATGTGGTCTATCCTAGAAAATGTTCCATGTGCACTTGAAAAGAATGTATGTTCTGCTGCTTTGGGGTGAAGTGTTCTGAAGATACCAATTAAATCCATCTGATTTAGTGTATCATTTAAAGCTGCTGTTTTCTTGTTGATTTTCTATCTGGAATATCTATACATTGATGTCCTTGAGGTGTTAAAAAAAAACACCTACTATGACTGCATTACTGTTTTTCTCTCCCTTTATTCCATCAAGATTTGCTTTAGCGGGCACATCCCCAGTGGGGAGTGTGCAGGAGGCAGCTGATCGATGTTTCTCTCTCATCGATGTTTCTAACTCTTTATCCCTCTCCCTTCCTCTCTGTAAAAAAATCAATAAAATATATTTTTTTAAAAAGATTTGCTTTATATATTTAGGTGCTCCTATGTTGGGTGCAAAAATGTTTACAAGGTTTAGATCTTCCTGTTGGATTATTCCCTTTATCATTAAGTAGTCTCATTTTTTAAAAAACAATTTTTTTATTGATTTTAGAGAGAGAGGCAGGGAGAGGGAGGCCCTGTGAAGGGAGGGCTCTGCACTAGTCAGGCATGTGAGGAAAAAATGGCTCCTGTCCTAGAACCACACAACTCAGTGTGTCCCAAATTATCCCAGAATCCCAATTTCAGCAGGGCAGGACCACCTGGAGTTAGGAGGAGGTGGCTAGTGGATCTCCCATGAAGGGGAATTGCCCATCAGGCTTTGGGGAAGGTGAAGGGACTTGCCCCTGCCCCAAAGCTGCACAACTCAGTCTGACCTGGATTCTACCAGAACTCAGCAAGGTGGAGCCACCAGGAGTCAGGAGGGTGGGGTTGATGGGAGCCCTGAAAGTGGGACTCATGGATCTCCTATGAGGGGCAGGTGCCAATCAGGTTCATAGGAAAGTGGGGGGAATTGCCCCTGCCTCAAAGCCACATAATTCAGTCACTAACACTCCCTGAGTCTTCCCAGACCACCATACCCTAGCCCAGGCAGCTGACTCTTCAGCAAGGTGTAAATTCCACAGGGTGGGGCAAGAGGGAACCCAGATGGTAGGGCTATTGCTTTTCCCAACTGATGCTATATGGAAAGGAGTGCTCCATCCAAGAGAGATGGCATCTGTGATGTGGTAGAGTGACTCAACACAGGGGTCCTGTGGGCTGTCCTTTCAACTCTCTCCCCAGAACTACAGACCC